GTTCAATCCAGCCCAGGCCTGACAAACAGCGATGAAAACTATAACCAAAAAATAGCCAGGTGTTGGGGTGGGTGCCTGGAGTCCCAGCTACTTGGGAGGCTGAGGCAAGTGAGTTTGAGGTTGTTGTGAGGTGTGATGCCATGGCACTCTAGCGAGGGCAACAAAATGAGATTCTGTCTCAAAAAGGAAAAAAAAATTAGCTGCTAACATTTGGAAATCTGTATTATGTTTCAGTTGTCTGCATCCATTTCCAAACGGTCACAGTGAGCTGGAGCTGAACAGCTATTGCTCCCTGTTAGTGGAGAAAATGGGCCCTCTAGATTGCCACCATCCCCAGTAATCCTTATGCTTTTACCCCTGGCCTGCCCTGCCACCTGGCCTACCTGGCTGGCTCTGAAAACGTTTGAGTCTGCAATCCCTGCACAGATGAGAAAGTTTGCTGGGAACTGTACATAATCTGTAGTCTCCATCTTACATACTTCTCTGCCATTCACCAAGAGTATAACAAAATTTAACATTATGACAATAATCTTTACTGTTCTAATTTTAAACGAATCAATTTGCAAACTTTGGTACTAATACTAGTAACAAACCAGACCATATCTTACATTTGACCACAACATACCATACTTGAAAATCTCTTGACTGAGAAATTTGATTTTGTGCTTCCCGGTATAAATTCTGGCTTTTATTAACTAATTAACTAATTTCAAGTCATAGTTTTACTCTGTCACTCTGGGTAGAGTGACGTCATAGCACCCTGTCTCACAGCAACCTCAGACTCTTGAGCGTGAGCAATCCTCTTCCCTCAGCCTCCTGAGTAGCTGGGACTATGGGCGTGTGCCATGACATCCAGCTAGTTTGTCTATTATTAATAGAGACAGGGTCTCACTCTTACTCAGGCTGGACACGAACTCCTGAGCTTAAGCAGGCCACCTACCTCGGCCTCCCAGAGTGCACCCGGCCAATTCTGGCTTTTTATTAATAGCATGCGTAACAAATGATGATGCCATTGAACGTGGAAGAGTCAAATTTGAGGGTGTGAGGAATGTAAGAACAAAATTAAGTGCTCTTAGTTCATGTAATTATTAAGTACATAAAAACATTGTTTATAAGCATTAACTATATAACCATGAAAATACAAAAGCATGAAATTGTGGTATTATGTAAAACTATTTGAGGGAGAATATAAAATGGTGGGCATTCAGGTCACAAGCCTATCGCTCTGTGAAAGATAGCAAATGTTTGTGAGACAGGCATTAGAACAAGACCCATGTACAAATGGCCACTTTACCAGAATAATAGCTTTCTACTTCCAATTATCCCAAATATCTTTGTCTCAGCAGACTAGGGAAGAAGAATGTGTGTGGTGGGAACGAGCGGACAGAGGGACAGTCTGGAGGAGATACACTGGGAGCAGAGGCAGCATGGGTGATGCACCCTTCAAGTGGGAGAGGAGTTGAGGAATAGGAAGGTGTCCCGGCCTGCCAAGAGATCCCTTGTTCCAAACGTGTGTGATTTACATCCACAGCTACACATGGATCACGTCGCACGGTCTAAAATACGACTGCTTAGTACACGGCCACAGGCAGACCCACTTTGGTGCACACACTCAGGCCAGTGTGCTGCCCTCAGAGGCATTTGAGATGCGCTGTGCCGAAGTAGAGGGACTAGACGTGGTGATTGATTAGTGACTTTTGCCACCAGCTGGAGGACAGAGAGTGGTGAGAAATGGGTTTGCCAACCCTGTTCTACTCTTTCTCGAGCACCACAGAGATTTTTCATTTGTTGTCTTAAATTCCCTCTGAAAGTTATTGCGAGGAATGAATAAATTTAGGTATAAATAGAACACACTCAGCCTAGGCTTACGCATATACTGTTATAATACTTACATGTCATTTTCATCAAACTGTGAGCTCTGAGTGGGTCTCTTGTATGCACGTGGCATTCACACATTTATGGAAGCAGCTTCACGGTGGGTAAGTTTGTCTTATAGAGTATTTGCTGCAATAAAGCAAATAAGAGGCATCAAAGTATTTATTAAAAGACAAGGACGTATGTACAAGTGCATTATGGCAACACTGTTTCAGCTACAGTAAGAAAAAACTGGCAACTGATTCAGTTTAAACACTTTAATCAACAATAATAAATCAATAATCATATAAAAATTCTGATTCATGCATAAGATTACATAAATTATACAACTGTCACATTATACAGAGCTTACATACTTTTGAATTTGAATCTCAAAAAATGTACACAAGTTACTAGATAGAGCTCTTACTTCAGAAGTGTAATACTCTTCAGTTATAAATAATGCTTGTATCTTTCAAATTCCTGCTAAATATATACATCTCTAGATCTGCAGCATTTTTCGTACCTCAAAATACAAACCATCTGGAAGCTTTGAAGATTAATAGGCCCAAATGTACCATTTGTTAGACTTCAATTCCATTGCAAGAGTGGAGTGTTTTTTTTTGACAGAGAAAATAAACGGAGTAAAACGTCAACTCTAGTTTAATGCTTGAAGAGCTACACTTCTTATTCAATACATCAGAAAACCCTTCATATGCAGATTAATTAGTAAAGGTGCTACCTACTGCATATTAAATACTTCCTATGATTGCATCTGGATTATTAAAGTTATACATCTGCACAGATGGGGGCTTTCCACGTGTGCTGACAGACCTTCCCATCTACCAGCCTGGACAGCAGCACTGGGATCCGCTCCTTTACTTCAAAGAGATCGAGTGGATGGGCATGCTTTATACTTCACTTACACACACCAATAACACCTACCAGCTACAAGACATATGAGTACATGAACATCAAAAAGTTTCAGCTTGATTTACAAATCCAAGGTAGGTTGCTTCTGAAAAGCTACAGAGGCAACTAAAAGCTCTAATGTAACAATTACTGCAGATATAGTAAGACAGGAGTTTTTCGGTTTTTTGTTTTTTTTTTAAAGATTCTCCTTTTTAAAGAGTAAGCACCCTTTTAGGGGTTGGTAGGTGGGGCTTGGGGGTGGGGAAGTGGGTGAAGGAAGGACATGAAGAAAGCAAGTCTGTCACTAATGAGCTTAGTTTTACTTAGGCTTCCATTCATGAAACCCTTTTAAATACAAGGCAACATTTTCACAGCTGGAAAATTACAACTAAATCTTGATTAACTGCCAAAAGCAATAGATGTCGTTATGTGTAACCTACGGATAATACTACATTTGTGGGAAATGGCAAAACTACGTTCAGTGCAGATATTCAGCAGCAAAAAGCAATATTTAGACACTTTTCATGAATGGGTTACATGTTATTTTATATACAATTCTAAGATAGGACCGTGGTATTCAATAAATGAAACTGGAAGCCTAAATGGTAGGAAGGTATGTTTAATATTTTTAAAGCTAAATTTTCACTGGGAGAACTGGTGGTAAAATAAAACTTTTTAAAATAATAGCAGAAATAGTTTAATTATGTAATGGAAGTCTGTTAGCTTACTTGAGATAAATACCAATTCAGTGATAAAAATTCTCTTGGTGGAAATGCTTTTGAGCGTGCATTCCTTAAGCATAAAAGCAAATGTAAAATCTGTTTATCATCTACTGGACCATGCGTTATTTAATAAGCACATAAATTTTATTTCCAATTCTAAACTACTAATAAAATACATTATTAGAATACTTGAAGTGATATTTTGGAAAAATAAACTCAGGTGATCCTTTTTGGCCTCTTCCTGTAGAGTGCTAAAAATGAAACCTACTCTGTCTGCACTTCTTTCTAAACACAGGAGACGCTGATACGTTTACTTGGGATCTCATTTTTACTTTTTGTTTTTAGCTTACTGACTGATTATGAAAATATGTAATATGTTTACGCTATATCGTGAGCGAAAATTCATAAACATGGAAACAGAACATTTTCAGGCAGTGTTAAATGTAGATTCAGTTTAAAATACAATACTTAGCTCAGATTTAAGGATAAAAATATTGATTCTTTTATAACTAGGTCACCCATGTATAGATTAATCTAATGCTTAATAGTTTTTATATAGGCAAAGAATTGATCCTTTAAGATGAATTTCCTCATAAAAGGAATAGCAATACTTGAACCATACTTTTAATGAGCTCTATTTATGTAAAATGTTATCTTCAAAACAAAGCTGACATCTTGGTTCACTCTATAAAGAGCAAATTTGGCCAAAGCATATTACAGTATCTTCAGATATCTACCGTAATACTGAAAACATATGGATTTTGGCATTTTAAAAAGTGTAACAAGAGCCTCAATAATACTGCCAGAAAAAAACTAATGCTAAACAATTTGTAACATTCGGTAAGTGTTAATAAAAATGACACCATCTTTAAAAATCCTAATTACCATGACTTAAAATGGGGAAATAAAATTCTACACTAGATTTTGAGGTTTATTACAGAACTTTAATTAACTGTAAGTGGAGGAAAAAAAATTGATAAAACCTATCCTTCCTTCTCCATTTCCTAATTTTATGCAAATATTTACTTTTTATTTGGAAAAAAATTTCACAATTTCAAAATGTATATTCTCATAGAAAGGTGAAGAAATTCAGAAAATGCAAATAAGATGGGGCTTTTAGCTTATGAAAATAAGCTTGACCAAGCACTCTGATTCGAAATATTAAAATGAACAAAACTATTATTTCTGGCTTTTATTTAACTTTTAATGAAGTCTTACTAGAGATGAACATCAGGGAAAAATGCAATTCATTAAAAGATTGGGGACTATGTAAGTCTCCACGTGGAGATTAATTTTTCACTTTAAATGCAGAAAGACACAGATACCCTCATTGTTTCATAGTAAATATTTAAGATTTTCAAGGCTGAGAAATAAGCAGAAAATTAACAACATTTTTATACCACTGCTTTTCAATTTAAATTTCAGAATAATTTTGTACAAATATGTAATCTCTGGAAGAAATCAACATTTTGGAAGAATGGACTTTAAAAAAAGACATAATTTTGTAATCAATCAACTCTTAAAGTTTGGATGGTAGAATAATATACATATATAAAATATGTCATCCTAGCAAAGATTTGTTCTAAAAACTCACTCTTCCTTTATTAAGTCTTATTTTGGTTCAAGACCCCAAAGCAACCATCTGCTCTGTTATTGATGTAACTTGAAACCAAGCCTAATTTTTCATGTCTTGAGTTTGCCCACTGCTTTGGGTTATCAAACACCAGATGATCACCTACTTTTCTTTCCCCAAATTATTTTCAGAGCTAACTTCACAATATTTTCTTTGCCAGTGACTTAGTGGCATGCACAATTGCAATGAAACAAATTACATTAGTTCATCTTCTGCTTATACCCATGTTAAGATAATTATTAAATAATTCAAAGAAATTCATGCTGTTGTAAAGTTAACGAATGGTCCTAAAATTTGTCATTAGGATTTTAGAGCATTACTTTTGGGAAGAGAGCAAAAATTTGATGTGGGAGTAATACATAGTAGCTCCCTTTGAAACCAAGGTTCACACAGTCAAGAGTGATTTGAAGCAGCTTCTCTGTAACAAACCATAATGGTAATGATGATGACTTGTCTTGCATCGATAGAGCACACACAGTTTCAAATTACGAAATCGGTATCCTAACCTTAGAGGCAACCAGTTGGTTTTTAAATGTTCTAAAAACACATGTATATATGAGGTATATGCCTGTATTTTATATACAAGATACATGAACATATATTCATGTACATATATGTATATAAAATAGGAACTGTATTTTCAGTAGTGTTTATAATGAAGCAGTATTCCTGAAGCTAAATAGCTCTACAAATTGACTTCTGAGAAACCAACCACAGTATCAATTCTGCTTTATGAAAAATCTATTCCTGAGGAATAACTCATGTACTTCTGAAGATATTTCTGGGCATATGGCAGGTTAGTGGGCCAGCACCAGCACCTAAGTGAATCCTAAGGAACTGCTTATTCATTGAGAATATGGCCCATTTTTAAATTATTTTGCTTGCTTCAAAGGTCACTCTTGATAGTCCCTGCTGATATTTACAGGTAAAACAATTTTTCACAATGTAGGAGAGTATGAAATGAAACCTCTCATAGTGTTGTCTCTTTCAGTAACAAGTTTTTCCTTCTTTCTCTCTTTCTTCCTCCAATTATAAACAGTACAACTGGCTTTATTAACTATTGGAGAATTTGCCAGCTTTCCTGGATGGCTCGTACGGCACTCTGAGAATACTGGGCGTTTCTTCCATCACCCGGACGAGGAGGTTGTCGATGTAGTCCTCCAGCTCCCGGATGTGGGTGTCCTTCCTCCTGAGGAGCTCTTTGTGTTTCACCAGTTCCTGGAGTACCTCTTCGTAGGTCAGGCTACGATACCCTGCAGTGGCATCAAAAGGGTTGCTGTCCTAGAACAAGAAAAAGCCTGTCGCTTTAGTTGATACAATATCAGGGAAAAACACTAGTAGCTATACAGAACTTTTGGCTTTACAAATCCTGTGAAGTTTTCCTCCATCCTTGGCCAGAGTTAATGTGAGAGAGTTCACGGACTGCCCAGCCAGCTCAGAGGAAGGCAAGGACTAGGGCAGATACATCAAAGCCTTGATTATAACTCTAAATTCTCTAACTTTTTTTTATCTTGTGGACAATTTCCTAAGATCAGAAACTGACCATATAATTTAAGACTAAATTAAGGGATGAAATATCCTATAATAAATATGACTAAAATCGATTAAAACTAAAGATCTCTAAGAATTAACTTGGAGAAACTGTAAGATGCTATTGAAAACTAAGCATTTGGACATGTGTCCTCAGGGAATTACTTCAACTGAACTGGGGCTTAATGTTGTACCTCTGGCTTTTTATCAGAGATGTATACAAGAGCAATAATATCAAATCTGCTTCCCTGATTTGCTACGAAATGTTGAAAGCACTTTGAATTAAATCAATCAGCAGCCTAGTAAGCCCCCTGTGAGTAATTTTTGTTTTGGAAAGTAGGCAGAGATTTTGTTTTCCCAAGTAATGGGTCTATTTCCTCCTTCTAGTAATAACAATTATCTAATTTATCTTATTTCCCTTTTTGCTGGGGCTCTCAGGAAACTCAAAAGAGTTCAACTATAACCATGTTAATACTTATGGTCAGTAGATCTACATTCTCTCGCATTTCACTTATTTATGTAGTTGACTTTATCCTAATTGATAACATTTTTTAGGTATAACCATAAGTATCCCCAAAAGGAAAGAAAAAGGCATTGATTTAATTCATTTTTATTACACAACAGTCTAATATTAATGTGACATCAAAAGCTAAAGAAAAATGTTTCTCAAGAATTTAAGAAGGTACTGTTAATGTTGTCTTTTATTTACAGTGTTTAGACAGCATTTAGATTTTTTATTCCATAAAAAGTACCCAAATACAGCTTAGCAATTTTTATGATTTTTAAAACACAGTTCTATCACTAAGCCAAATAACTTAAAATGAATTTCATCATTCCTTTTCAAAACATTTCCATTTGCTTTTAGGAAAATCAACTAAAGTACTAAGGAAATTGGTTTACTTGTTCTTAAGGTCAAACAGTATCTAATCTATTAAATGAAGGATGAGGAATGAGGACTGGTGAATGAAGAATAACCTGTTTTTCCCCCTTCCCCATAAGAATTAAATTTGCTTTTATCCATGTTTAGGAACTATTTTAACTGTGTTATATTTCTCAAGAGTTTTCCTCAGTAAAGCAAAAGTTTATTAACTCATGCCCCCAATCCCAGCCATGACTTTGCCAGCCCCAGAGAAACAGAAGCTAGGATACAGGTAACAAGTTGATGTTTGGGTTACTGAACCATGTCCCCCACTCCAGGATAAACAAACAAACAAACAAAATCAAAACTGAAAAACTTCTCCCATTCTGTAGAATCTCTGAGGCTTTGTGGAGAAGATACAGCTTGCACTAAAACTTCAAAGAGTATGCAGAGGCAGAAATGCATAACGGGCATTTTGAGCAGTGAGTTCTGCTTGTTTAAAAGAAGAAACGAGGTTCAAGGCATAGTGGCCAATAACGTGAAAAATAGGGGACAGCACGGGGAGCAGAGAAGGGCTGAAATGGTAAGTTTGAAAATAAGACCACCAAGGATGCTGAATGCTACTATTAAGAATTTTTAGATTTTCACTATGGAAAAAAGGAAGCCATTGAAGGTTTCTAAACAGAGGAATATGATTAAAGCTATGTACCAGGAAAATTAAAATGGCAAGTGGGTAAGATTTTTGGAGGGGCCGAGGTTAGTCACAGGGCTATTGAAATATTAAAGACAAGAGTTAATAAGAGTGAATAGAGAGGATATTAAAAGGAAATGATTTTGAATGTTATAAGATATATTTAAAACAATTTATTTTATTTTAGCCCTGGAAATTGGCAACAGATGTAACTTTATGAGTTATATTACCTTTGTCCCTAAAACCATATCCAATATTGCTCTACAACCATTAAAGGACAATTTTAGAGACAAGTGTTGACTTACTTTCTATTCTCATATCTCTCAAATCAATTAATTTCACAAGAGTAAGTCTATACACATAAGCACTCACATAGCTACCAGTTTAATTGGTCATGAGTAGTTTAGAGATATACACATACTAACTGCTTAATTGCATTCCTATAAAACATTTATTATATTAAGTAGTTTTCTATAGTAAAGATAAGGCATAGTATAGAGATAAGTATACTTTTGAAATTTGTTGAAACTAAAGTTTTTTACTTCAACCTGAGCAATTCTGCAAAAATATGAGACAAAAACCAAAGTCTCACTTTCCTTATCTGATAAATGAGATGTTCTCCAATGGTCCCTTTCAATTCTAAAACTGTCTGGTCTACAAATTGACTTTTCTGAACTGCCTTTTTTTATAAGTAATAAAGTCCAACTAATGTGATTTCATTTTTCTAATAAAACGTTTACTGAAAAATAGGAGTTCTTGTGAGAATTACAGGGATTAATGAAATTAAACTAAGGGATTCATTACTGATTAGTTGACTGCTTTATGTTTTCTCTTTATTTAACATAATAATAGCATTTGTTTGAATCTCTCTAATCTTAATGAAATTATTCATGTAAGAGCTGATTTCTCCAAGCTAACTCAGTGATGATATACAGTTAAAAAATTATTTGCACTGTTATATTTTAACACTATACTAGCTAACTACCAGTCAATGTAGTTAAAAACATTTTTTTAACATTTCTCTAGAGGTACTGAGGATGAAAGACATGTAAAAAAATTCTTAATTAAGGTTATAAGTTAATCTAACAATTTAATCTCTCAAAATAATTGATTATTACAGACTATTGTTCAATTCTTTATAGCCATAATCTAGAATGTACAGAAACACTACTAGTGTCTTATTCTTTCCCTCACGATGATCTAACACTAATGCGTACATAGATTTCCTAGAAATACACTATTGGTCTTTTCAACAAATTTTCCATTTGTCCTTTTATGTGAAAATTTTACCCCAAATTTCAGCATCAAATTTCTGGGCAGAAAAACATCTTAGAAACACACGTACTATAATCTATATTCTGGAAAAGAACATAAAATAATTAAAAACAGTTTCATGCTTAGTTCCAGATTTTATCCCATACTTGAAAACCATTAAACTTTCTAATTTTAGGCATAAGATTATTACATTGATGGACAGACTCAATTAATATTTACCTATCTTTTGGTTTGCTGATATAACTCCAACTAAAATAATGAAGATTAACTACTATTAACAATTAAAAATTAAAATATTTTCTGGTTACAAAAATTATTTTGCTTAAAGAAGAAAATTCTCAGGAAAATATAATTTTTTTTTTAAATTTCAGAATATTACAGGGTATATACGCTTTTTGGTTACATGATCTGCTCTTTACAGTTTGAGTCTTATTACTATTCTTGGAAAAACTTCTAAAATGTAGAACTCTCCAAACTGGTCAGGACCAAATGCAACCTACAATGAGACTCTTAAGTACTCAATATTTTTTCCTACAGCACTCCTTATAGACAGCACATATGTTTTTAAGATGTCTTCTTATTTTGAAATCTAATGTAAATTTTTCGTCTTTCTTCCCCTTTCACAACCAATCCTTTCTCACTCCTACCCTACCTCTGTTTAAAAATGTCCATATGTGGATATAAGAAAATGCAGACGGGGTGAGGGAATAATAAAATTATTACCTGAAGTTTTCCAATCCAGAATTTTAAATATACACTTGTGCACAGGACTTTGAGAATTACTACTGATTCATTTTTACTTTATACATAGTCTAGCCTTTTAAACTAGGAAATGTACATTTTTTACAATATTTAAATTTAAACAAAAGCAAATGTTCAGGACTCAAAATAACTGAAGATTTAAAGAAAGGTTGTCCTGGTAACCAAATATTGGTGGGGTACTAACTGACATCCAAGGCAACCAGAGGGGAGAGGGAGAGAGAGATGAAGGCTTGGCATTCTCTGATCATCTCATTATTGTTCTAATGAGGAACTTTGCTCTGGGAATATCATCTCAGCTACTTTCACATCTTTTGTCCTACTCCCTTCATCTCCCTTTCAGTTCTTAATTAGGCCTTAAAGAGCTCACACTGCCCTTTCAACTGGCTACTGCTCCTGTTTAAACACTGCGCTGTCACAGACAGGTGTTGGCACTAGCATATAAGATATACAAACTTAATTACAAAATACTATGTCTAGAAGGGGAAAAAATAAGTTGGCTATTATTGGAGAACTTAATGTAAATTACTTCAAACATCTTATAATCTTCAACATGAAAATTGTTCAAATACTTTTATTCAACAATGATCAGTAGAAGGATGAGCTTTCTCTTCTTAATTGTATCTTGCAGTAAATTAACAACACCTAGTAATCCTTTAACTGTCATTTAGAATAGTTAGTATTCCGGAGAAAAATAATCACACATCAAGGATTCTTTTATCACCTTTAAATCCTTTAACTAAAACAATTTTCACATTTTATTTCTTTAAAGAATTCTAAGGATGCTTTTATAGCAATAAATTATAAGATTTGGAAAAGTACGTTTACAAGCACATCAAAATTGTAATTAAGGTTACTTAATAAACAATAGCTACGCATTAAATTGATTTTTTGATGTTGCATTTTGTTTGAGATTAAGTAACTGCCTGACAGAATTCATTTTACTATCTGATCAAAGGCTGACTTCTTATTTTCTGACATTTCTTGCCAGGCTGCCATTATTATAAAGACTTGAAAATTTATGAAACATCAAAACTTACAAATCATTTACATAAAACAGCAAAAAAACAGTACAGAGTCCTATGTTTCTCTAACATTTTCTATGATTTTAAAGACAAACAACTGCATTTAGAATGGTTTATCTAATAAACCCCAAACCCACCTTGGCTTCTTCTAGATATATCATATTCCAGAAAATCGTGATATGTGATCACTTAAAAAATTTCTTATTATACATCTGGATCACACATATTAAGGACAGATGGTTGAAACAACTGCCAGCCTCTTGGAATAAAGTCCCTATGTCTATGAGAATTTTAGTTTTCTACCAAGAACATTTGCCCATATTCTTGTAAAGTAACTTATTCTTTATGTTTAATATATTTAAAATTGATTACAGACGCAATGGAACTCTAAATAGAGATTCTACACTGGACTTCAAATAACAATACAATGAAGTTAAGATTATCTGAATAATCCCTGCAAAATACATGAGTTGATCTGGCAGGTCACTACCAACTCTGTTAACATATTTGGTTTTGTTCCGCTGAAGAAGATAAGTGTCTGAAGTATTTGTTCTTCCAAATACTTTCCTGGTTATCTAGAACTCTTCTCGCCAGGAGGCTTTTCCTATTGTTGAATGTTAACAAGCAGCTTTATTCTTTCTTCAATCCTTGTCCCAACAACAGTAAAAGTTTTTTCCACATGCTCCTATTTCGTAACTATTATGTTGACCTTGATACGTACAGCTTTCATATTAATTTCAAACAATCTATAATAAAATATGCATATTCTAAATTGGCTCCAATGATAACTATGTTTACTTACTGATCATACACATAGTATAGAAGTGACACCCTATTACATATCAAAGGTAAAGTCTACATTTCACATTCTTTCTTTCTCTCAAAATTACCATGCTAACCTACAATACCTGGGTGACTGAGGGATTTATGAACATGAAGGTATTTTTAAAAATGTGTGCCAGAGAAACGACTGGCTTGTTCTTTGGTAATTCTCTAACCTCCCAAGCAACTTACCGGGATTTTCCTGAGGTCTTCATTGCATGTCGGATTCATATGAAAACTGAATAATAAACACAAACATAAATGTTAAAAGAGTGTCATAGTCTATGCAAAGGGAAACACAAAAATAAAACATGTTTAACCAACAGTGAAATAAAAAATTTCTAAAGTACAAATTATTCAGATGAGTGAAATTTAATCCACGCTATAGAGAAAAAAACAAAACAAAACAGCATTTACTCAAAATTATTAAAGCATCTACAATTTTAAACTCTGAAAGAACCCTTTCAGTTATCATCAAAACTGAATAACTAAAACATGTAGTTTTAAACATAGTGATTTTACCCACAAGATATTTTATAAAAGTAACTTTTATAACATATTACTCATTTTATATACATACACTCACCTTAGGCCCTGACATAATATCAGGGGGAATTAAGTAAATTTAGAATGGAGAGATTGCAGAATAAAGGAATTAAAGCAATCTTTGTTAAAAATGCCATACGTCTTAGGAAAATTAGTCTTCAAACATTACCCTATCAATGAGAATGAAACATTTCTCTCCTTAATGTGATTTCTAAGTAGCTAGTCTTCAAAATTTAAACTCCAAAACGGACCAAAACAGATTTCTTGCAAGCAGGGAAGAAGAAAACATCACAGCTGAATGCTATAACCATTTTCTTCTTTGAAACATGTCCATTAGAAGGGGACTGCAACCAAAAAGCTAAACTTCAAAGCCATATGATGAGTAAATATTTCAGCGGTGCTATTCAAGTTTAATTTTTGCCCAGCACTTAAGAGTATTAGCCTTTGCAAAGCACTACTACCCTGGGAATCTTTTTAGTCTACACATAAAATGAGGACTGTAATATACATTTTTTCATTATTTTCACATGATCAGTAAAATAACTGGGACCCTTTGAAGATTTAAGAAATTCACTTTTAAAACTTCAAATTGTATAACAAAAAGTCTAGGCCCTAGGTCTAATGTCCATAAAATATCAATAATTACATGTACACATCCTAAGCTGTAAAATCCACAAGGCACACACACATGTAGAAGGCAATTTCCTCAAGAGAATTTCCCATGTAGCCAATGTTTCATTTGTTGTCAGTAAAATTTGAAGTGACTAGCTTTCAGAACTGGTTGCTGACCTTCTCTAGCTAGAATCCCTGCAGGTAATGCAGTATTTCAGTAGAGCTGACTGACAGAGCAGAGAAGACTGAAACCTGTTTTAAATACCCACTGGCGCCATGTACAGCACACCGTCTCACTCCCTGTATCTCCCCATCTTTATGGTGTTTGTTCTGCAAGGTCCCAGACTACAGTCAGCACACCAGCAAAGCCTCAAGAGCCCAGCAAAGAGTGGCTTGAAAGAAAATGACAAAACAAAATCCCCAAAGACATCGCCATATAGTTCATCTCAGCCTAGAGTGCCATGGTAGCAGCTGCTGACACATGGTTTCTACCCTCTCCAATTTCCAGTCCAAGGTGGCCGACACAGGGTCCAGTGGGACTAATCTCTTTTGCCCCATTATCTCACAGGATGTTTTCTAATAGGCTAAGAGACACATTCTGCTATGCCTCTCTCCATCTGACTGTAACATTCTTAAAAACAAAATGATTTACACTCAAGTCTGACAATACACTAAGGTCCTTAGAGCTGAGTAGCTGAGTGTGCTGGAGCCAGCTGCTGTGAATTCAAATCCCGGCTCTGCCCTGTACTCACTGTGTGACCTAGCACAAGTTACTCATCTTTGATTATCTCAGTTCCCTCATCTGTACGATGGGATGTCAACAATATCCACCACATGACATTACTGTGACCATATGACATTACTGTCATTGACATTACATTACTGACATTGACATTACAATGACATTACTGACATTACATTACTGACATTGACATTACATTGACCATATGACATTACTGTGAAGATTCAATGAGTTAACAACATGTAAAATGCTTAGTGCTGGTGACTAGCAAATAGACCATGTTCAATAAATCATTTTATTTCATAAACATTTACACAGTACTTAATCTTTGCCAGACAGTGTACTATTCACTTGACCAAAATTAACTCATTTAATTTCCATGATCTTCAAGGGAGTCATATGGCCCCATATCTTTGTATCATCATTAAAAATAAGGAAACAAGTGGCATTTTCATGTGGTCATTTAGGTGGTAACCTGTAGAGTGGTCTGACTCTAGAATCTGTCCTCTAACTGTGCTGCACAGCCCAAGCTCCGTCCTCTGTATGTAGATATATTTAACAAGCACCAGCTGCACTGCGGGAGCCTGAACATATAGGCCACATAGATTAATCAGAGAGTAAACATCACCTCATTTGGAGAAAGCACATCACAGAGCTATAGGTGGGGGAGGCAGGGGAAAAACACTTGATAATGAAATTTGTAAACCACAAAGAGAAATGTTCTATCACAGCAATTAGTCAAGGAATGCCTAATTTACAGAAAATGCAGGACTTAAAATTACACGAGGATAGGTTTGGCAGGCTAGACAAGGAGGGCTCTGCAGACATATGGCATGGCCTAGGGCTGCTAGACAGCAGGACAGGGAAAAGACTGGTGTACCAGGCAGCTGGGTCGGAACAGTCCTTGAAGGGTTCTGATGCAAAAGAAGAGGACTTGAGGACTAACCTGCTGAGCAGGAGGTGATCTTTTGACAATGTTAATCTTCTCTCATAAATATTATCTCAACATTTCATGTGTGGTAGCACAACCCGCCACATTGTATCCTTGAGAATAAACAATACTATGACAGTATACATTTTACTATGTGTCAGGAAGAAATCATTGTACTAAGAAATAGAAATAATATTATATTTATTGTAATAAGGGCTTTTAAGCGACAGGCATTTAGGACAAAGATTTTATCAAAATCACAAAACTTAACAATATATAGTATCCAGTTGCTTTAGCTTATAAAACTAAAATGAAACTCCACAAATACACCAAAAATGTCTGAGAATTCTTAAGAATGATTCAGTTACAAGGCTCCATCTCTAAGGAGAGTGTGCAGTGGAGTAAGCCCCAGCTACTTCCCATTCTACCTGGGAGTATCTGAGTAATCTGAGCCACTCTCTCCAGCTCCCCATGGTGCAGATCAGAGAGAGAAGGCTCTTGTATGGGGATTGTGTGAAATCTAAAGGCAGAACCCCTCCCATGTGGTCTGCTTTATACTGGCACACTAACGTGTCAAACCCCATGAACTCTGTCCTTCATGGCTGCCTTTTTTGATCTGTCCTTACAGAGAAAAAAGAGTTAACTGAACTGGACTGAATTAGCTTGGTGAAAAATTAAATGTCTCTATTTATCGAAGTGTGGCACCAATCTGTGATATATTTCTCTTTGGACTGCTGTCCTCATGTCAGACAAGATATCGAATAATACAGCCTGACTGCTCCACTGAGCTGGTGACAGGTTAAGGAAAACGATGTTTTTAATCAGGTATAAAATAAACTTAGATTTGCTCATGTTGAAATAAAGAAGTATGTAAAACAGAACTTTGGAATTGAAAAAAATTAATTTTAAAAATTAGAACTGAGAGCTTGGAGGTGACAGAGGATTTTAAAGTAACTTTTAAACTGATAAAAATATTTCAAATTAGTTTTTAAAAAATATTTTAACCTGAAAAAATATTTGTACTTTAATGTTTTTTGAAATTTTTAGGTATGAAAGCTTGAATATTTTTATTCTGTGATATCTTCAAATTAAAAAGAATATTTCCAAATATACCCTAATTCGAAAATTTGAAGTTAATAGTTTTCAAATATTATATTTCAAGGAATCATTAGTATCTCTCCTCTAATATCACTTAGGAATTTACATTGAAGCTAACCTAAAGAATAAAGAAATTAGGAGTAAACTGGTTAGAAACTTAAATTGTTCTTCAATTTGGGCTATGGACCTGTCTTCTACAAACAAGCCAGAAAAACAAACTAATCTTATAAAGTAGTAAAACTGATCACTGCAGTAATCTCTATCAAAGTGTTTTCCCTTTTGTTTGTTTGTATTTTAGAACATACATACATTCTTTTGGAATAAGAATACCTAAGAAGGGAAAGAAACTATGAAGAGTGAAAATGTCTACAGTACTTACAAAGACAAAAAGGCCCACAAAAGAACAAAGATCTATGAAAACTGGCTAAAATTGTTACTACACGACAGCACAATCTGTCAATTCCTAGTTCTAGGAGTTTAGACCTTCCAATAAGAAGTCACACAGAACAACACTTAAAGCTCTTCGGAAGGCATTTAAAAGCAAGTATTATTAAAGTATGTATTACACCTTTCAAAATATTTCCTTCCAAACCACATTACTGCTGAAATTACATAGCAAAGTTCATTTTGGTCTCTAGCTCGATCCACCTTGCATTTAATACCATGTTTCCCTGAAAATAAGACACTGTCTTATATTTTTTTCTCAAGAGGACACACTAGGGCTTATTTTCAGGGGATATGTTCCTGCTCCATGCCAAAATGCTTAGCCACACCCATCACTAGGTCTTATTATCAGGGTAGGGCTTATATTTAACAAATGCATAGAAATCCTGCCAGGGCTTATTTTGGGAGTAGGTCTTATTTCGGGCAAACACAGTAAGTGAGCTCAAGTTACATACAAAATCCACTGGTGGGAGGAGTATGGGGAAGGGGAAAAAGAGGGTGGGGACAAGAGACAGTAACTTTCTCTAATACCAGTTGGTTACTTGCTGTGTGTGGGAAGTAAAACTACTTCAAACTGCCATAGAAGAACTTAAGACAGTAATTATTTTCTACAGCTTGTATTCTATTGATGTTGTTTAACTAAGAAAGTGGACTCTAGAGACCTCGGGCCTCACTGCCCTGAGAAAGGTAGTTGGAAGGAATACAAACTGAAAACTGAAAACAAGCTAACAGGAAACCTTTAATGAGTCTGGAAAGAGGAAAAGAGAGATTCCCCATGTATAGTTCATCTATACTTCATCAATAAAGAAGTACACAGTTACGATGGCACTGGGCCTAACAAGAACTGGCATCTACTGCACTTTAA